CTAAAAAAGACATGCTGACAGGTCTTAATACATAGAACTGATTGGCAGTAGCATGCTTTATAGATCAGTGATTGTGGAAGTCATTTACAAGTTTCTGGTTCCAAGTTTTATTTACTGAGTTAGCCATATCTCTACTGTAATACTCAAAAGGCCATCTTCCAAAATTTAGTAAGGATTCCATTTCAGTCTCATACCAGCTTTATAAAAAATGTGATTAAGCTCCATATAATCACGCTCATTCATACAACAACAACAAAAAAGGCAATTATGTAATTCCTTTTCTCAAGTATTTATTTAAAGCAGTTTCCATGACATGTTAAATGTCACATTCAAGTACTGGCATTAACAGATCTCGTAAGTTTCTTCCAGTATTTTCTTTCTAAAAGCAATTAAAGTAAATGAAGTAACCTTGCCTTCGAATTCTCGAGTGCAAACAGAATACAACCAATCCAATAACAAATAGATACAAATTAACTTTGAAGAGTTGCTGCCAAACATCAAGTTTCCCAAAATAGAATTCTAAAACCTTTATCACTATAGTTAATAAAAATCCCTCCCACTTTAAGTTTAAAGTAACAAATTTGGACTGCTTTAACACCTTCCCTTTACACAGAATCTAATTTTGAAACATCGTACTTGCTCTTTCTTAAACTGGGGAATGAACCCAGGGCTTCCCTCCTTAGGCACATGCCCAGGCCCTAATGCAATTTCCTAAGTTCTTTCCCCTTCACCTTCCTAAATCACATGACTCTCAGATTATCTAAGGCCATTTACATTAAAGTTGCCACAACCAAACATCCTTAAGACTCTAAGGTGCTCAGGACAAGAGGGTAAATACATAACCAGCCCAACTCCAGCAAGGCAATTTCAGTCAGCCAGTGGTTAATTCATAATGCAATGGATGACTCACGTCATTGATGAGAGGCTTGAGGTACAAACAATAAGAGTGTATCTGCCTGTAGAGAATTTAAAAACCACAAGTCAGTGTGTTCCCAACTACGGCCACTTACTGCCGCTGTCACTTGTATACTCACTAGAATGCTAACAATCTTCTGAATTATTCTTCCATGCTAGATATAGAATTACTTTATAAAAATACGTAACTTTGTCTTTATACGAGATAAAAGCAAAAACTAGAACACCTTATGGAACAACATGTTTATTCTATCTTTGAGTTAAGGTTTTTAATACATTAGCATAGCTAAAGGGAGTTTATGTGAAATAAAGAATCCCAGGCAAAACTGCCTTACAATTCACTTATGTAGATGGCCTACACACCTCTATGAAATACATTATAATCACCCTTTCCCCAATTACTAGATTACAGGCAACTAAGCGCAAATTCAACGACAGCAAATTGAATTTGCACAATTGTGTATGTAACTGGCTAGAATCACTTTACCCAAGGAAATTTTCAGACAAGAGGTCTAAACTCTGCTAAACTGTTAACAGCTTTAAAGTGGCCAGCAATGAATAAAAGATGTACTGTTATCTTTCAGCCTTGCCAAAAATTAGTTAAAAAAAAAAAAAAAGCAATCTATTGCACTATTAGGAAATTGTTCCAAAATAAATTAACTTCATTATTACTGTATTAAGCATGGACCTAGAGAGTTTAACAATGCAGGCATTATGTTCATAATCAACACAAAAACTGTGCTAGATACTGGGTTCAACCCTTCTGGTTGTCAAGAATCCTAATACCTCAACATCTGAAACACAAAATGCAAAGCACAAGGTAGTCTTAACTAAGGAAACGTTCCAAGCATAAAAGTATAACAAACTTACTCAAAATGAGCTGCCATCTCCACAACACCCCGAATTCTAACTTGGGAACAGCATACAATGAATTAACAGTCGCCCCAGTGCCCAAAGGATAGATATGGCTACATGGCCTGACTCTAATACACACTAAGTTTAGGCAAAGAATTTTTAAAAAGGAGAAACAGAACCCCAGGAAGAGAAGTAAACTCAGCTGGTAGTAGATACCTAGTAAACCAAGATACAGTTCTACCCAGAACTAAAAATCAAAGCTACCTAACAGTCTACCAAGAACATGTTTCTATACTGAACTCCAATTCTAAAAGGGTAATGAGCTGTCAACATTTAATTTTCCTGCCTTATTTCCCTCCCTCAAGCTTTTCACCACTAACATGTACAACACACACACAACCAACTTTATTGAAATTCTATACTGAATAGCAGGCATTTTTTAAAAATGTGGGCAGTGGGGGACAAATAAGAGGAAATAAGCTTTCTAAGTTTAAGAGTTTATGAACAAATGTTAAGAAAACAGTTTTCTGTGAGCATGGAGGGGATTTCAAATTACCCCTGCAGAGCCCCCAATGACAGAAGTGGTAGCCCAAGCACTGGTACACGTATGGGTAATGAACAAAACCAAGGACTGGTTTAAAGTCTGACGTCACCCAAGACCACCAGATATTCCAGCAGCCAACGGACTCTCATTCTGACAAGAAACTAGTGTCTGAAAGCAGTTGCAATG